GTCCCAGCTCTGATGCTGGCGTGCTGTGTGAACTTGGACAAGTTATTGAACCTCTCTGTTCCAATTTATCAGTAAAATTGATATTGTAACGGTATTCTCTTCATATTGTTGCTGTGGCGAGACTGAGTTCTATACATAGAGAGTAAGTGAACTAGATCGCCAAGGATTGGTACTCCACAATAGTTCCCTACAAGAGGTAGCCAGCATTCATGCTGGGGAAGGAGCTTGCTAAGACTCCTCTCTTGTCATTCACTTCTTGATGGAGGTTTGAAAGGCTGTTCTCCAGGACTCAGAAGCTTCAGCGAGGATAGCAAAGGATTTGAATGAAAACAGTAGACACTGTAAAAACAGTAAGATGAACAGCAGGAGCAGCATCAGCACTGTACTCCTCCTGACAACGCTACTGCACAGCCCGACAGGCTAAGGCTCCAACATCTCAGCTGCTACTTCCTGGCTGCATTCAGCAATCGACACCATAATCCATAGTCTCACATGGAAGTAGGAGTCACACAGACTCAGACAAGAACACTCCAAGGGGAGGGGCAGGGGTGGGAGTCATCCCTACCTGGCCTGGGCTAACTGCCTTCTGCCCTTGGCCAAAGCATGAAGGCCCAGGAGATTCAGGGTATAAACCCCAGGTCGTGAGAACAGGCCGGTATGGGAGAACTGGCATGACTCATCGGGGCTGACTTCCAGGATTGCATCCAGGGCACTGAGCCTGAGGTTGTCTGGTACCTAAAGGAGATTCCTTTAGGGAGACCAGGCAGTCTGGGGTCTTGTGTAGGATGTGACTAGACCAGAAGGGGCAGTTTCAAGAGAACATTCTCGTAGTCTCCAGATGTCTAGGAACATGTGTGAGTATGTAAAGCTTGACCGTGGTCTCAGAAGGGAGAGCATCACATTTTCCCCTCAACCTCACCCGCTGCTGGTGTTTTGCTCAATGCCAGTCTGGGTATTTATTTATTTATTTAGAGACAGGAACTTACTATGTAGCCTTGACTGGTAGAGAACTTGCTATGGAGATCAAGTGGGCCTTGAACTTACGGAGATCTGCCTGCCTCTGCCTTCCCCCACAACTCCCGCTGGTCCTCTTTGTCTCCAAGTTTGGACTTTGCGGTCCACCGTGTCAGCCTCTCCCCATCTCCCCGGTACTTCATTTTCCCTTCCCCATCATCTCACCCTCAAATGTCCCAGTGAAATTCAACCCCCAGCCACCCCCTCCTCATGCCTGCAGCCTGGCCTCCAGCCATGCCTGATGATGCCTTGGGTGGGCTTTCAACATTGCAGAGGAAGTATGGCACCAGGATTTATCCCTACTGCTTGTACTGGCTTTTTGGAACCCATTCTCTTTAGATGGATACCTTGCTCAGCCTAGATATAGTAAGGAGAGCCTTGGTCCTTCCTCAAAGCAATGTGCCTTCCTCTCTGAGAAGTGGATGGGGAGATGGGGTGGGGAGGAAAGTGGAGGGAATGGGAGAAGGGGAGGGAGTAGGAACTGGGATTGGTATGTCAAATGAAAAAATAGTTTGTTCTCTTTTTAAAAAAAAAATAAAAAAAAACTATTCTATTTTTTTTTTAAAGAAAGAGCTAGTTAGACATAAGCCTGAGCTATTGGCTGGGCATTTCTAATTGATATTAAGCCTCTGAGTGATTATTTTGGGGCAGGCAGTCGGGACAAGAAAACTCCTCCTACAGAAAGGTTTACTAGGTGAAAAGGTAATAGCATTCTGGGCATGCTCTGTTGGAAAGGAAGTCCCTCAGGCTAGAGAGACCAATACCAAGCAGTCTTTACATCCTGCTTCAGGATCTCTGAGCTGGCCCAGCAAGAGGGCTTATTGTTCTTTATGTCCTATTTTGGACCAATGATCAGTCCCTCCTAGAGCTACCCTTCTGCGTAACAGTCAGTCTCCTCCTCTCCTCCATTGTAGCCCTTTAAAACTGCCTCCACCTTGCAGGGAGAATGGCCATTGGTCAGGAATCCCCACAGTTTCCTGCTTCAAACCCACAAATACACCTTCATCACAGTCTTCCTTATCTTTATGGGAAGGAGTAGCCAGTCAGGTCCGCCCACCTTGCCCCCTGCAGCTGCCTGCCTTTCCTGCTCCAAGACTGACTTCTAGTTTGCATCTTCCGGCGATCATTGCCTAATCAACCATATCTCTCCCATAGGGGCTCCTCTGTGGGTCCTATTTTCCCAGCACGCCTTGCATCCTGGAGCTTTATCCCAGCAGCCCCTAACCTAAGTCTTGGTACGTTACATCCGGACTGTGCATAGATTTTTCAGCCAGGTCCCTAGCTCCACTTTTACCCCTTGCAATCCACTACCTGTACACAAATGTTCACCTGAACACACAGTTCTGACCAGGCCATGTTCCCATTTAAAATCTTCACCACGGCCTGGGAGATGGCTTTAGCGTGAAGTGTTTGCCACACAAGACTCAGTACTAGAGTTTGGTTCCTTGAAGCTCAGTGGAGGCCGGGAGTTTCCGAGTCAAGCCGCCAGCCAGACTAGCCAAAACAGCAAGCTCCAGGCTCAGGGGTAGAGCCGTCCTCAATTTATAAGGTGGAGAGAGATGGGGGAAGGCACCCCATGTCAACCTAATAGCCCCCCATTCATGTGTACATGTGTACACATGGGTCCACTCATACATGAATGCAAAGCACACATATGTGCCTGCTACCAAACTTGAAACGACCTTCCTCAGCTTCCCCTTGGCCATAAGAAAGGGACCCACCTGTTAAGAGACCCCTGAAGTCCTCACCTGGTGCACCTTTCTAGCTTTTTGTTCTCCCCTTTCTTTAGCCTCATACACCCTCTCTGCTGCCTCTAAATTGCTAAAGCCCTTTGCTTTCCTCTGTCTGAGCTCCTCTTCCCAACTTCTCCTCCCTCAGGGTCAGCTGAAACCTCAGCTCAGCATTTCTGGGTTGTTTAACCATGTCTTCTTTTCTAATCTCTACCTCCACAGAGGAGCCAAGCCATCCAACTAACTTTAACCACGGTCCTCCCTGGATTAAAACCTTTTCATGTTTTTCAGGGTCTTGAGGACGAAGTCTAAATTCCTCCCTGGGCTTTCAATGGTGAGAAAGAGAGGATGCCTTCCATAATCTCTCGCGGTGTGTTTGTGTAGTGGCAGGGGGCTGAGCCAGCTGTGGAGACTGGGGTGGGAGGTGTATCTAGTGCAGATAAGTGTATCTCTGCAGGGTGCTGGATGGGGCAGTGGGTAAGGGTAGCAAGGCAAAGGGTGGGTTCATCTGTGGAGGAGGTTTTGCTGAGAGCAAAAGTGGGGCTCACGGGTAGAGGAACCTGACAAAGGGTTCTCTTAATCAAAGAACAAGGGAGGTGGAGACAGGGCGGAGAAGTGTCTTCAAGAAGAGGGAGCTTTGGAGAGAGCAGAGAAGCCAGTGGGCTATTCACGGTGATGTGAACTAAACAGAGGCTGAGTGACTTGTTTGGAACAAGGCAGTGAATGGCAAGAATGGGCTGTGGGTCTGCTCTAGAGACGGAGTTGGCAGATGGACTGTTGGCTCCACTACCTGCCTCCCGTTATGGTCGGGTGGGTCGATGGCCGACTTCTGTAGCCTTAAGGAGCAGGCCACGGGGAGGGGGGGGGGGGCTTCTCCCTCACAGCCTTCCCTGGGAGCCTGGCACCATTGCCATGTGCTCAGGGAGATGCCTAAGCTCTGTGCCACCTTCCTGTTTTCCAAGCCTCTGCATTTCTGAATTACTTCAGTTTCTTAAAAGAGATATTAAAAAGAGACAAGGCCTGTCTCAGCCGGAAGGAAAAGGGACCCCTTGCTTATTCCAGGTGGAAGGATGTCATGTGGTCCCTTGCCTCCCCAGGAGTTGGTCTGGGATTGCATCTCTTGGGAACTCAGGGAGAGAGTTGAGGTCCTCAGGGGGGAAGGACTTGGAGCCAGATGTACACTGGCCTGACTTCCCTTCCTGGCTAACGATGGGTCTCACTGTCCCTTGTGCATACATTGCCATCTGCCCACGCTGCAGCACTTCGATCTCAACGTCAGGTCCAGGTTGGGAACGAGGGAACCACAGACAACCAAAACCAAAACCCATTCTGCAGGGAGGAGCTTGTACCTAACTGAGTCTCTTTAGGCGCATCACGAGCTGTGGGTTAGCACCTGCAGCTGATGGTGCTGTGGGCACCAAAAAAAAAAAAAAAAAAAAAAAAAAAAAAGCAAGTCATTAATTTAAGGGAGAGGGTCAGGGAGGATTCCCAAGAGAATATGGGCGGGGTTTTAGAGGATGGAGAACAGGACAAAAGCCAGGACGAATGGGAGAACGTTAAAAACATACGGAAATAGTTTGGTGTGGCTGGTCCACGAGGCAGAGAGAACAAGACCGCATGGCATTAGGAAACATTTTAAGGTAGATTTTCATTTCATTTAGTTCTATGATGATCACACAAAGGGGGGTCCCTTCTGAAGAGTGTAGAGCTGTGTGTTGTCAGGCAAATGTCTATGAGGGGATCAGAGGAGATGTATTGTTGTTGGTCTTGGGAGAGAAGACAGTGAATGTCGTCCAGTGTCTGTCGTCTCTGACTTGGATGCGGGGGATGGGGGGGGAAGGGGAGTGGGGGGGGGAACGACGATGACTAGTGGCACCTTCGGAGCAGATGTGGGAGCTCTTAAGATAGAGAGCAGTGATCCCATGTTGAATGTGCAGAGAGATGAAGCCCCATGGAACATTCAGAAGACGGGTTTCGGTTGTTCTGGGCATTCTGGGACATGTGCTGCTCCTCCTCCCCTGGCTCTGCCCACCTTCCCCTTCTCAGTTTGCAGTCCCCTTCCCCTTGTTTACTAGCCCTGCATCCCTCCAGGAGATGTTTGCCCTGTCTGCTGAAAGCAACTTGTCTTCATCAAAGCCTGCAGCTCCGTTGATCATAGTCATTATGAGGTCCATCTTGTCCACCTGGCAGAACTGTGCCTCCCTGATAGAGCACGGGGGGGGGGGGCGGTGAGGAGGGGGCTCAGTGGCAGACCAGCACTTAATGGAGATTGTGCCCTGCCCTGTCCACTTAGCTGCCCCTAGAAGGCACATTCTTTGACAGGGGGATGGGTCTAATGGCTAGTTGTAAATCAGGGAGTGGAGCCTAATTGGAGGGCAATCTTGGTGAATAAACAGCAGAAACTTTCTCAGCAAAGCCCAACTTCAGTCATGGTGCAGGTTTTCTTCCTCGCATTTCCTAGCAAGGCTGGTTAGAGTGCGACTTATCTTCATGTTGGAGGCAGTGCTCCCTTAGCTGAATTCTACTTGTGTAATTTAATATTTCCCAAGCAAGATTTCTTTTAGTAAATCCTTTATACCGGTGGTTCTCAACCTTCCTAATGCTGTGACCCTTTAATACAGTTCCTCATGTTGTGGTGACCCTCTCCATCATAAACTTATTTCTTTGCTACTTCCTAACTGTAATGTTGCTGCTGTTATAAATCATAAGATAAAATACCTGACATGCAGGATATCTGATATGTGACCCCTGTGAAAAGTTCACTCGACCCCAAGTGGATCACAACCCGCAGGCTAGGAAGTGCTGCTTTACAGCATCAATTTTACTACTTTAAGTTTCTCCTGCATCAGCATCTTTTAGGAGACAGGTCTCCGGGGTCATCACATAATCTGCACCTTGTGTAGCAGGAAGTGGCAAAAGCAGGAACCTACATTCCTGTTACCTGGAAACACATACCACAGAAAGAGCGACCCCTTCCACAGTGATTCCAAGCAGGAAGTGACTTGAGGGCCTCAGAAGGGCTTGAATGCCTCTCCTGCGTCTGGAACCCAGAAGCGGGCCAACTGGTACAGTGACCACATGGATTGCCGGCTGTTCCTTTTTCACAGGTAGGGGAGGGAGACATATCCTCCAAGCTATCCCTCAGGGAATCCACAGAAGGCAGACTACATAGGGAAGAGGGCGCAATTCTAGAGAAAGTCACCAACACCTGTGGCTAAATCTCCCTTTGAATTAGCAAGTGAACAAATGTGAGGGACTGGGTTCCCCCAGTCTCTCTAGGTCCAGAAACCCTTCCCCCCTTCTCTCATTAGAAAAGAAACCCCAGGTCTGGCTAAAGACAATATCCTGGCCCCATAGCCTGAAATGGGTGGGCTGTGGGGTTGGGGAAGGAGGCTCTCTGAGAAGGTGAGGTGAAGGCAGCGGCAACTGTCGTCACCCTTTTATTGCACATCTGCCAGGAGTCGAGTCATCTCATCTCACTCACTGATTTAATAATCCTAACAATTGATGGCAACACTGTTCAAAGAACTGAGGCAAGAGAGGCTAACAGTTACCTCGCCCAGGCCCCAGCTGCTAGGTTACAAACTCAAAGGCGTTTCCGCTCCAGGTCCCTCTCACCCCACTTCCCTCTACTTTGCCAAGAGCCTCTCTCTGAAGAACAATGGCTGGTATATTCATGCCGTAGAACAAGGCTGGAGTTGTAGGGTCTTGGAGATACAGGCCAAGCCTTCAGGGATTCCAGATGTGCCTAGAGACCCCAGAGCCAGGCAGAGAGCATGACAGTCCACAGACACACAAGCATTCAGCCCCCAGGAGGCATCCGTCACGCACCCTCTCACGGTGTGGATGTGTCGGGTACATGTGAGCTCCTAATCACGTCCTGTGCAATCCCGTGGCAGCAGGGTAGGGGCAGACATATATGCATGCTCCTGTACGTGTCCTGCCAATGCTCTGGGGACACTGAGTCAGGGCATGGGAAGAAGTCAGGTCTGTCAGATGAGGCTGGCAATGCTGGAGGTGGTCTCATGACGCTGGCCAGAGGACAACTGTCCCGAGATGCTAAAGATGCTGCTGTTACCACCGTGGCCATTTTGGGTGGAGGGTGCAGCTGTACAGATCGAGGGGCAGTGTCCACTCACACCCACCTGATACAGCAGCAAACCCAGCAGCAAGAATGAGCCCAAGGAAGCCAGGGTAATGCCCACAGACAGCATGGCAGCCAGTGGCCGAGCTGGGGCTGGGGCAGCAGCCAGCCCAGCCAGGGTCAGGCCAGTGACCAGCAGCACAAAACCACTGAGCAGCACTACAACAGCATCAGCCCCTCCACCGCTGCGCAGCAAGGCCACGTGCTGGGCCTGGCGGATGCAGTTCATATCCTGCACTGCGGAGCTCATCAGCTGCTTCACCAGAACCATCAGGGCCAGCAGGCAGAGCACGGTGCCCACGACTAGTCGCCACTCGCCAGAGCGGCTGCTGGTGGAGGACAGCAGGGCCACGCCGCCCGCCCCACAGCCAGCCACAAGGCCCACGGCCACGGAGAAACAGAGCAAGGAGCGCCGGGGCTGCTGGGACCACCACAGCTCCACCTGCTCTGCCAGCACATCTGGGGGCAGCCCCCTGGCCACTGAGGCTTGTTGGGACATGGCTTGGTCAGGCAGGGTCAGGTGAGAAGATCAATGTCAGGGCTCAGATGGTGTTTATCATGGCCTGGTGTCTCCATCACCTGGTTGGCAGCTAGAGGCCCAGTCTCTTCCTCTCAGTCCAGGCAACAGGTACCGTCACCTGCAGGATAAGACCACATGTCATTTCCCACCCGTCTGGCTCTCCCGGTCTCACCTGGGTATCTTAGGGAAGAGCCCCGAGAATCTTCCCCAGGGTCCACAGGACCTGCTCTGGAAAGCTGCAGCTCCAGCATTGCACCTTGGGAAAGCACCTCCCCAGATCTCAGCAGAGTTTACTCCATCACAGAGCTCCCCCTCCCCTTCAAGGATTCCCTTGCCCAGCCCCTGACCTCTCCAGCTCTGGCTGTCTCCATCTAGGCTGTCGGAGGGAGCTGGTGCCACAGTGGATGATGGGACGAACAGTCAGAGATAAAGCCTCATTCAGGATCAGACTCACATGGCCTCAGTTGTCACTGCTGGGTCCTAGATGGGAGGAGTCATGGGGAGGGGAGGCTGGTGACTTAACCCTTCTCGAACCAGCAGGCTGACCCTGACCTTTCTCTCCTTCCTTCTCTGTGGGTTAGCATCCCATCCCATCCTGGTCTGGCAATAAAAGATGCAGACTCCAAATCTCTCTTTCTAGTGCTGATCTTCCTGCTGGGCCAAAGTCATCTCTGATGCAACAGGGCCCAACCCGAGATCCTCAGCTTACCCTAACCTGTTCCTCCTGTGTTGCTTCAAGACGACACTACCACCTCTCAGCTTACACCAGGGCTCCTCAACTCTCTCTGCTGTTGCCAATCCATGCCCCCAGGGGCTACCGATTGCCTCTAAACATATCTCCACCAGTCCCATCCACAGTTGCCCCCCTCCCCCACTGACCTGATTCCTCCGGTCTGGTCCATCCCCAGCTGTACCCCCTCCATGTGTTCTCTAAGGCAGCAAAGGAGGGCTCTGGATTTGAACCTCAGCCTAGTCCTTCCTACCGTGGGAATGTGGGGAGGGACCTAACAGTGTTACTCATTTAACCTGTTCCCTAGAGGATAGACAGCATGACTCACACCAGGTAAAAATAAAGCTAGCACTGCCGGCCAGGAGTCCAGCTTCCTGTGGCAGGAGAGACAGATCCTGTAGGTGCCAGCTGCCGAGTCCTGGAGGGGCTTGCCTAGGACAGTTCACCGTCTTAGAGTCCTTATCTGAAAAGTGAGGACAGAGGAATTTATTCTGAGGGGGAAGGAGTCATCTGACACCGTTCTTTCAGACTTCCCATGGGGCAAAGTTGCTCAAAACATACTTTCTGAGTAACAGAGACTAAGGGTGAATCAGAGGGCCTCGGTCCTGGAGACCACATGTCCCACACAGCCAAGAACGGGTTTTTACTCCACAGAAACGGTGCTGTCTTTTACCACCTCTCTGTCCTCCGCAGAGGCTGCCCAGCACGCAAAGTAGGCGTGGTAGATGTCACGCCCCCACGGGAGGTGGGGGAGGGGCGACGGGCGGAGTCTGTCCCAGCATTTCCCCAGCACGTGACTTGCTGGTCTGAAGGTGCTGGCACAGGCCTACTGGGGAACGACCCCAAGGTGGGTGGAGGTTCCCAGTAGTGGAACCAGTGGAAAAGGTGGGGGCGGGGCGGGTGGGGAGGTGTGGGGCACTCACGAGAAGCCTGGCTGCGCCGGATCCGATTTAAGCAGGCAGGACCCAGCAGGTGGGGCGCTCTAGCTCCGTTTCCGGGGAGACGCTTCACCTGCCTAACCTGCATCCAGGTGAGCTGGAAGGAGAGGGGATTAACAGGTGCTGTTTCCAGGGCAGGGCCAGAGCCAATTGGCTGACGTGGCCCTGCGTCTTCTGTGGGGCCGAGACATTCCTGGGAAGGGAGGGGCTTCAGTCTGCTGCTGTTCGGTCTGGAAGGCAAATATGTAGGTAGACTCGGTCAGCAGAAGGAAAGAATGCTGTCCCTCTGCCCCGGTGTGAGCCCCAACCCTCTTCCCCCAAATCCAACCGCACCTTACCTTTAGCTCCTCCCTGAATACCTACCGCCAAGCCTGCACCTTTACATTCCAGGCCTGTAAACTTTGCGCTCTGAAAGGCCGAGGCAGGAGGATAGCCAGCGGGAAGCCCCACACCTGGATTGAAACCTCAGCTCCAGCCCGTTAGTCTAGCTGATTGTGGACCTTTTAGTTCTAAATCCCAACTGTACCCTCAGCCGCACTTTTGACTTCTACCCTTGAGTTTAGTCCTTCAAAACCCAGCTCTGCCTCCCGGCCAGCCTCAGCACCACAGCCCACCATCGGTGATACCCCAAACCCTGCTCCAGTAGCCCCATCTTGAGCTTTCCCCCAATAAGCCAAGGTCTCTTATCCCTGAGGCCTCGAGTGGGTGGCAGAGTCAGCCTGCCCCATGGGTGGGGAGAGGCCTTTCAGGTGGACAGCTGTAGCTCCCAGAGTAAGCACTTCTTGGATAAATTCCTCATCCCTTTCAAGGCACAGGAAGCCCTTGCCCTCTACCCAGAGGGTCCTTCTACCTACATGACGATCCTCTACCTGCCCTTTGAACTTCGTGCTCCCTCTGCCTGAGTCTGGCCAGTCATTCAGCTGAGATGCCCGGTTTGACCCGGATGATCGGTCTGCACTCCCGGCCTGGGCTACCCCCATGTTCATCCACAACTGTTTTTGTTTGTTCTTAATTGTTTTAGTTCGTTAGCTTTCACCTACCCGACTCCCCAGATGTGTATCCCCAGCCAGTTCAGTTTGCTAAGGGTGGGCTCAGCAGCCAGCACTCCATAGCCTGTGTGTGCAGGGCAATTGATAAATAATTGTTGAGTAGTTGGTGTTCAAGTCCCAGCACCCACATGGTGGCCCACAGCTGTCTGTAACCCAAGTTCCAGGGGACCTGACACCCTCACGCAGACACACATGCAGGCAAAACACCAGTGCACATAAAATAAAAAATAAATTACTAAAAACAAAACAAAAAAACCCTGCTGGGCTTTAGTGGCAGGCAGCTCTCTGAGTTTGAGGCCAGTCTGCTCTACAGAGTGAGTTCCAGGACAGCCAGAGCTACACAGAGAAACCCTGTCTCAACAAGGAGGAGAGGTTGTGAACCAACAAGTGACTATTTTGAGCCTTGAGTATTTGGGATGAAACCAGAAAGACAAGTTGGGTCCAGGCTGTGTGGGCCTTGAAGGCCTCGAGGATGCATCTGGACAATGCAGGGGATCCACCAAGTGTCCTGAAGTGGAACAGGGATGTGGTTCAGGGCTCTGCTTCCAGTTGGCCATCCTGGTTCTCAAACACCATGCCCCAAGTGGTGGCTGGAGGGTGTGCGGGCTGTCAGGTATCCACTGCTCTACTCTAAAACATACAGTAGCATATCTTCTCCTCTCTTCGTTTGATGTGTATGAAATAATAATAATACAAGACAAACAAAAAAACGAAACCAAAACAACAGCAAAAGGAAACCCAAGTTATCTCTTCCCATGATCTGTTCACAGGGTAATTGCCTGGCCTGGCTTCCTCTTTGCCTTGTCCTGTGCAAGTGACCCGGAACCTCCTAACGCCTCCTAACAGCGTGCTTTGTGTGTATGCATGAGCTTATTTATGTGATTTAAACCTTTCTGATAGCCTGTTTCAAAAGACACAGGCAAAATTAACACATTAAAATGAATGCGTTTGCTGGGCTGTGGACATAGCCCAGTGGTTGCTCGGCACTAGATTTCGTCCCCAGCATGTAATTGAATTCCAAAATATACTTTATTATAAAAGATACTAATGTGCTCTTTGAAATACATACAAAGTGTGTCTCGGTTCAAATTAGCTACACACCAAGCACCCAGGAACCACTTCTGCCTTTGACTGTCCTCACTGGGGAGCCTAACTCTGGATGGCTTTCCCCTGAAGAAGGGTTTAGGGCTGACTGCTGCAGGCCAGGCTGAACATGGGGGACATGCGTGACATTGCGGGCATTAATCCTGCCACTTTGCAAAGCATTATGAATGTGCCCCTTTATAAGAACCAGGCCGGGGAGAGAAGAGCTTACCAGCCTGGATTTGCTCTGAACACTTGGAATATCCTGACCCTAGGAAAGTCTAGTCTCATGCCGACCCAGTGTTCAGCTGTCCTAGACAGAACTGGCCCCGGGGAATCCCTGAGCATCTTTTTCCTCTTTTCTTTCCCTTTTGGAGTCTCTAGAGGAGGAAAGAGAGCCTAGAGCTTCCTCAGTTTAAACACTGGTGGGGAAGTCAGCGACTCAAAGTGTTGCACTCTGTTCCTAAAGCAGAGGTCGTGGGGGCAGCTCACGGGGGCAGAAGTGGCAGGTCGGGAGGTAGAGGTGGCAGGGGACATGCAGAAGAAGGTGTGGGTCTGAGAGGGAATACAGGGGAAGAACAGATGAACTGAAGGACCCTGCTTCTGTGGTCGTCCCACCTTCCTCTGTGCTCAGCCAGAGTCTGAAATGAGCCTGTTATGGTGACGTCACTGCCTATTTGAGTCCCTCCCGTGGGCAGTATGGGTACTTCCATTCCTTCCATGATCTTTGAGGCCCTCTTTACGTCATCCCCCTGCCTCAGAACCTGTGTTCATTGGTGTCTCCCTTTCTTTGCTTTCCTTTCAGATGACTCCCTCCATCCCTCCATCCCTCCATCCTTCCAGGAATGAGCTTAAACGTCACCTTCAGCTGTTAAAATCCATTCCCAAGGGGAGATATGAGCTATGTCTGCCCCTTCTCCTGAGGTCCCAATGATTCGATTCCACCAAAGTTCACTCCGGGAACCAATGAGTTTATTAGGATTACTTCCAGAGCATAGATGAGGGGTTAGTTACTAGAATGTGGCTGCTTCCCACCAAAAGGCTGCACTGGACAGTCTTTACCGAGCAGGGATGATGTCTTCCCTACAGCTCCACAGATGGAGTCCCTTGTAGCAGGTCCTTAGACCGTAGCACAACTGACTCCATGATGGAAGAACCACTCAGACTGTAAAACTCAGTAGGTAGACAGCACCACTAGCCAAAATGAAAACAAAGACTCAATCCACCAAAGTCCATAGGTTTGGGAAAGTCTCTGAATGTACTAACCTTGCTTTTTGGCTTTTGTGGTTCTGCTTATGGTTAACTGTTTTTGTTAACTGATGTATGTCAACACAGAACATGATTTTTTTTATTTTTTTATTTTTTATTTTTTTTGGTTTTTCAAGACAAGGTTTCTCTGTGGCTTTGGAGCCTGTCCTGGAACTAGCTCTTGTAGACCAGGCTGGTCTCGAACTCACAGAGATCCACCTGCCTCTGCCTCCCAAGTGCTGGGATTAAAGGTGTGCGCCACCACCGCCCAGCCAGAACATGATTTTTGTGTTTAAAAGCTCACACTGAGAAAGGCTCAAGGCTATCCCAGAATCCCAAACACCCAGTGTACTCAGTGGGTGGCTAATCAAGACTTTCTATTGGTTTAAACCCCTGTCTGAGCCATCTTCTCGGGTGCGTACCCCTCACCATCCCCTTCGTTAGTCTTCCTCGGCCTGTATACTCTAGTGCCCCCCCCCCGTCACATGTAATTAGGACAGAGGTGGTATGAAGTGGCTGATAATCGGGTGAGGACTCTGTGACCCTCTCTGCTTCCCCATGGGGAGCTGTAAACAGCCAACAAGCTCAGCTGGGTTGATCTTTTGGAAGTGGCTCAGCTGAGCTCCCAGAGATGGTGGCTGTTGGGCCCTGAGGACAGTCATGTCCAACCTCTTCTCAGAAGAGGTTCCTGGCCACCCTGTCTTCCCATCACCGTCTTCCCCAGCATTTCTCACCCCCTTGTTTCCTTTATTCCCCTGTTCCTCTCCTTATCACCCCCATGTACACATTGCTGGTGCTCTCCCTCCTGAAGTATGACCTTGACGAGGAAGGATTTACTTTGTTTTTCCGATGCTGTGTTTCCAGCTCCTAGAACAATAGCTGTACACCGCGTGGCTGTTGACCCGACTGAGTAGAATTATGGTTTTGGAGCCAGGCTGATCTCGAAGTATCAAATCCTAGCTCTAGTTAGGAGAAAACCTACTGGGTTTCTATTGCTATGTTAAAACACCATGACCAAAGGCAGCTTGGGAAGGAAAGGGTTTATTTCGCTTACTCTTCCACATCACAGTCCCTCACTTGAAGGAACTCAGGGCAGGAACCTGGAGGCAGGAGCTGATGCAGAGACCATGGAGGGGTGCTGCTTTCTGGCTTGCTTTGCCTGCCTGCAATTAACACTAGGACCACTAGTCCAGGGATGGAAGCACCCATAGACTGCTGGGCCCTCCCACATCATCAATCAAGAGATGCCCTATTGACTTGCCTGCAAGTCAATCAGTGAGGACATTTTCTCAACTGAGGTTTCTGCCTCTCCAATGACTAGCTGTGCCATGTTGACAAGAAACAAAAACACCAAAAACTTAACCAGGGCACGCTTGGTGGGTCTGGATCTCTTCCTTTGTAAAATAACAAGGTTTAATGAATAGTTACGAGGGGAATTAAATGATAGAATCCACTCATTCAGCAAAAAATTATTGTACCCTGCAAACCAGGTGTTGTGCAGGAGACACAGGAATGAGAACTGGTAGCGAATGTTCCCATTATCTGGGCAGAAAGGCTAGGAGGAAGAAAAGGACATACCACAGGGTAGCAGTAGGGCATCAGTGGAGCCGTACCGCTGCTCCATTCCTCTAGGTAGACATAATTTGGGGGACATAGGTCCCACTTACGACACTCATCCTCCTCAGGTAGAGCCCTAGGAACTAGGACTCTATTTTAT